TTGAGCCTTTTGTTTCTTTTTGTTCCATTTTTGGTTTTTGTGAAGAAAATGGTCATGTTTTTGGAATTTGTGGTTTAAAAGGTTGGATATTGGTTTTATTGTAAGCATGCTTGTCTTTTGTATATATTGTGAATAATGACAAGTGAATAAAGGAAAAGTCGTCCAAAGTAAAAAAAACCACTAAGGACATAATAAAGGCAAAATTGAAAAAGTCGTCCAAAGTTAAATAGGCAAGGACAATTGCTTTATAAGAAATGAAAATAAAAATAAAAAAGAAGTGAAAATGAGAAAATTCAACAATATTTTGATGTGAGTCTTTTCCCTTTTCAAGCATTCTGGACAATGCTTCCTTTTAGCTTGGGGGAGAAGTGTTTACGCTTTTTGTATATATGCTTGTGGATATAGCTTTGAATAAGCTTGGGGGTGTTAGTTTGTTTTTATTTGGTAACTACGTGATTGTGATTCTAAGAAAGAGCCTGTTCTTTGCTTCACAATTAGGGATACCACCAAATTATAAATTTTAGGCCTACCCCTAACCTTTTGCCCTTACGTTACAACCTTTGGGAAAGTCCTTTCGACCTAGTGGTTGAGTCAAGTACCAAGGGATGGCATTATGAGTTAAAGCTTAAGGAAAAGGGATGCAAGGTCAAGATGTCGAGAACCCTCAAATTTTACTCTTTTCCGGTTCCTTCGAGGAACCATAGAGACACTTACCAAGGGAAGATTTGAAGCCATTGGGAGAACGTGATTAGATTGGTTAGGATGAAAGTTGATTGCGCCTCATTAGTTATCTACGCTTAGCATACCTTATGTTTTAATCAACCGTGGATATCTTGAAGCATGCATACCAATTTCACTTGCATTTGACCGTTTGTGAAGGTCCTATTTGTTTGAATTTTTTATTTACCTTATTTTATTTTAAATGATTTTGCCTCGTTTTATTTCAAAGAGTTATGGGTTAAGCTCTTACGAAACCCTTACGAGACCTCACTCGTCCTCATAGGCGACTTTGGGGTTTAAAGGGCTTGTTGTAACTACAAACAACCAAGATTCCTATGCTAGTGAGTCTTAGTGTATATTCTTTTTCTCTTCTTTTATTTTCTAAATAAGCCCTCCTTATTCCTTTTTAGCTTTTGTTTTGCCCGGGACGAGAAAAAGTCTAGCCTGGGGGAATTTGATGAGTGTCATTTATGGCACTCATAAGGTAGCCTTTTAGGATGTTTTCACCCTATATTTCATAGTTTTCTTTTATCATTTTGGTCTTTTCTTCTTTAGTTTCTCTATTTCTTCTTTGTTCGTGTTTTACTTTCCTTTATATGGTTCGTGCTTCCCTTTTATATGGCTCTTTTACTCCTTTATTTTCTCTCTTTGGTTACTCTTGTAGGTTCTTAAGGAGTTGGCTTTGCAAAGGGATCAAGAAGAGCAAAAAGGGTAAGGAAAGAAGAAGCAAGCTCCTTGGAGAGGGTTTGAGAGGGCACGGAGAGGGTGCAGGTCTTGAATGCCGGGGGCGCGGGTCTTGAATGTTGCAGGCGCGGATAAAGTGCAAATAAATGGTGATTTTTGGCAGGAACTCTCCGCGCCCTGGCCGCGGTCTAGCCGCGGGCGTGAAGGTTCTGGAGTGACCGCGGCCCCATGTTTACACTTGGGAGCGGGCATCTGCCGCGCCCTTAGCCGCAGGTGCGGGCTACAGTACCCACAGGCGCGGGTGTTGCCCAGATTTCCCGCGGAGTAAGTTAAGGGTTCCGTACCCATTTCACCGCCCCCGCGGGATATTACTGGAGAGGGCGCGGCCGACCATATTTTCTTCTTTGTCTATAAATACTCTTGTAATTTCTATTCAAGGCTAACTTTTAGATAATCATTCATTTGCTTAGTTTTTAGAGAGAGAAGTTAGAGAGAAAGTAGAGATATAAATTCTAGGATTTTGATTTGTATTATAACATTGCTTCAATCAAGTTTGGATTTCTTCTTCATATCAATGAAAGTTTGTGAGATTTCTTTCCTTTGAATTTACTTTTATTGCAGTTTCCTTTAATGCTTGAATGTTTGATTTGGATTTTGATTTAGGTTTGAGAATTTGTTGATTGATTGATTTTCCTTTTGATTAAGCTTGAGATGAATATGTTTGTGATTGAATTTCTTTTGTCTTTAAAATTAACCATGATTAGTGAGAAGATTAGTTGCTAGGGAGAAGGGGAAGCATGCTTGGTTGATTAATTTTGCTAGTTGATGATCATTAATTGATTGAATTGTTGCAATTAAATTGGTTGACATAGTTGTGCATGTGATTAATTATACTAGGAGTGATTAGCCTATAAGATTAATCTAGATTGCATTGAAAATTTCAATGACATGAACCCTTGATTTGAGAATTGCTTTAATTGATTGAATTTTATTGCGATTCTCCTTGTTAGCCATTCATAGTGAACCCTAGCTTGGCTTATAGTAGATAACCTTTGGATTCCTTTGATTGCAACTATTGTTTGTCCCTGATAATGTTTGAATCGATTGAGTGATCTATCAGTTAGCATAATAATTGAGCTTGCATGTGGAACCTATATCCCTAGTGTTTAGCATATTGATTGAATTCTTCAATTTTTCTCTCTTCTTGATATCTTAATTACCAACCACAACAATTTATATTCTTCGAATTAGCTTGACAATAGACTATACCATATTTCTTACTCATTCCTTTGGGTTTGACTCTTAACTTTCCACATACTTGTATTAGGTTGTTCGAGTGTTTACAAATTAGGTTTTGCTATATGGAGAGGTAAATAACGACCTACATTTTTCTCTTGTCAAAATGGCGTCGTTGCTGGGGAATGATATTGGTGCTTAGTTATAGTTGTTGAGTCTATTTCATTCTAAAAAAAACAAAAAGATTTTTCTCTTATAGGCTACACCTGTAGCTGTGCTACTAATCATTTCTTTTGAAGTTGTATGCATAGAGCACGTGGTCATTCACTAGTGCCATTTGATCCGGAGATTGAGAGGACTATTACGAGATTATGGGTTGCTAGACGTTCTTTGTCGGTAGTCGCTATCAAGTGAGGAAGAACCACAGCTAGAAGAACAAGCCTTCTTCTTGAATTAGATTCACGCCTTCTTCTGTTCCAATGTTAGCCATATCATTGTCATTCAAACCAAAAAATCTCTGAAAAACGGGTTTGGGATCTGACAAGTTAAGAGCATATGTCACAGGGAAATTATTTGCAGGGAATCCTAATAGAACCTCAAACTCACCAGGTAATGGAACAATTTTGTCTCCTTTGAAAAGGAGTCCCAAGGATTAACAACGGCATGGAGAAAATCAAAGTTTATGTCTAGTTGCATATAACTCAATAGAGGGTCAAGGTGGTATATTTTGAAAGCTAGTTTATCTTCGGTAGAAAAAGAAGTGACCCATTGCATCAAACGTTGTCCAAAGGTTTTTACCATTGTTCAATACAAAAAAAGAGGGAGAGAATTTAGAGAGTTTAATTCTTTTTAATTCTGTATGGTACTACTAAAGAATGAAAGCGAGATGATCAAAATCTACACAAAACCACATTTAAATTGAACCAAAAGAGGCAAAATTTCTGCAATTTTTGCTCAAAGGAAAGTTCACTCGCAAGCGGCTTGCGCAACTCACGTGTTAAGCGCGCCTGCCGCACGTAACCAAATTACATGCGTGCAACATCCGCGCGCAACACATGCAGTTTCGGGCGTCTTGTCTGTCGCGACATGTTATTGTTTTTCTCTTTGTGTCCTTTTTTATGTTTTTTTATTTTATTTTTCACTTTCCTTCTTATTTTACCTTTCTCTTTATTTCTTCATTTTCTCTTTCCTTTTCCTTTTTTTTCTCTCATTATTTCTTTTTTGTTATTTTTTCAAGGGGGTAAGTCGAGAACCCTTTCCCTCCCTCAAAAAATTTTTTGCTCCAAAAAAGGACATACTCATGGAAACAAAAAGCATTAAAATAATAATAAAAGACATATATACAATATATGTGTGTCATATGTACAGCGAAAATGATAACAAAAATATATATGTACATCTGTTTCAAAAAAAAAAAAAAAAAACTAAGGAAATTAGGGTGCTCGGCGACTCTCGGACGGCTGCCGTACAAATTGCAAAATCCAAATAAAGGTTAATACACAAACTGTGTAATAATTTTGATAAAAGAAAAAGAAATAAACTTATCACTACAAGAAAAAGGGGTATTAGCTCGTCAAAGTGTCAAAAAAAAAAAAAGTTGTCGGTAGTCGCTACCATCCTGTAAAAATTAATTAAAAAAGAAAAAAAATCCTAAGCATGATGAGGAGTTTCCACCAATCACTCTTAACTCGTCAAAGTGTCAAAACCAAAAAAAATAAGTTAATCACTCTTAAAGATAGAATACAGTAATAACAGTATACAGAGACTCTTCATCCTAAAAAAACACGCAGAAGACTTAATTTCGAAGAATCAACCCTAAACGTCGCTCTTCATCTTCTTTTGCTACACCACCACGTCTCCTCCCAGGCAAGTTTAAATGCCTGACTTCCTTCCACCCTTCGCTTATTGTAATTTGCCAGCTATGAATTTTGGGGTCATTATTGATTTTTTTGTCCAATTAATTATTTTAATTTTGTTTGCATGGTCTAATTGAAGTCAATTAATTAAAAATAATTCGAAATTAATTGAGTATGCAAAAATCCCTAACTATTTTCAATGTAAAAATCCTAATTCTAGTTATTTCGACCCCTTTTTTCTTTCTTAGGCCCTGTTCTCTTCACCTTAAAAAAATGATATTAAGTAAAATTAATTTCACTTCAGTAAAAATAAGTTCAGTTTAGTAATATTAATTTCAATTCAGTAAAAATAATTTCAGTTCAGTAAAAATAATTTCAGTTAAATTCAGTTTTCTTAAAGAAAAATTATAATAGAAAATCAGTAAAAATAATTTCATTTAAAGTAATTTAAGTTCAGTAAAAATAATTTAAATTCAGTAAAATTAAGTTCAGTTCAGTAAAAATAAGTTTAGTTCATTAAAAATAATTTTAGTTCAGCAAAATTTAGGTGTATCAAACAGGGCCTTGGTTGTCTTCAATGATGTGGTATTAGTTAATTAAATTCGCCTTTTCTCTGATTTCTTGTTTTGCTCTAAATTCTGGTTCGTTAGAGGGTTGAGTATTGAGGATCGCTAGTTCTAATTGAATTCTTTTTTTTATCTGAATTTTATTTTGTTTTGAGCCTAATTTGCTGCTGGGTTGCTGTCATGAACTCGTGATGTGGTGTTAGTTTTTTTTATTGAGTTGTGAGGCAGCAGGTTAGGGGCTAGAATAAAAGTAGGTTAGTTGAGTGGGGATGCATTTTCTTTCTTGGTTGTTTAATTGTAAATATCCTGTTTGGATGCAAGTTTTCAACATGACCTTCCCCAAAGTATTATCTGTATAGCTTTTCAAGATCTGGTTATATCTGCTTCCATGTTTCTCCATTTACTGGTATATTGTAGTATTAGTGAGGCATTTTCTAATTTCGGATAGCCAGACATCTGAATAAGTATAGAAGAAAGTTTGTAAGTCTTATCAAATTATAGTTATTGTACTTTCTGGTAAGTTGATTGTAGCTTGTCAGTATTTTAAATTGAATTATTATGTTGACAAGTATGTCAACGAATAGGATAATGTTTCCATTCATTTAAAACTCTACCAAAAAGTTATTACAGTTATGCTATTACTAAAAGTTATTTCAATGTGAGTGTGTGTAGTAGACTGTTTGTGCCTAGGTTATGTTTGCTGCAATACTATATTGAGCAATGCAATATCGGGTGTTATATTGTAGAAGTGGGTAAAGGCTTGTGTTAGAACTCTAAATGCAAAAGTTAGCTTTTTAGCCTTGTATTGAAGTTGTAATGTTCATAACTTATATTTATAACTTTCTTTTTATTGAAATCATCTTTTGTCTATGCTGAGAAATTGATACGAGCTTGAACACTCTTTTTTCCACTGGATAACGGAATACTATTGTTTCCCTAGGAACTAAATTTGATATTTAGGTTGTTCCCGTCTAAATAGTTACATGTATTGCTCAATTATCTAATAGCTTTATTAGATTATCTTCGAGTGATCAAAGTTTAAAATGCTGATGCGTGAGCTTAGTCTTTCCACATATATACTTTCAGGAATATAAAAGATGTGATACAGTCATCACACAAAATATGAAGGTAAGCTTGCTGCAAAATTGCATTTCAGGCATTATCTTTATTGCCATTGTCGTGCAAGGGCTAGTTGTTACCGTTTTTTTCTTTCTTTTTAATTTGTGTTGCTTTGCTGCTATTGCTATGTATTGCAGTGAAGCAAGGGCTAGATTATTGTCCACCTATGAGATCGATTCCTAACCATTTTCCTAATTACATATTTTATATAGTTCATAAAATTGATTGATTATGACACCATTGGTTTCATTCGATTGTGTTGGATCATAGACATTTTTGCTCTAACCTTTGTTTTCTTCACCCGATTTTTCCCAATCAATTAAATTTATGCAGCCATGTAGCATGATAACTATTATAAGCTCAATGTGAATATCATAAACTGTCCGTTGTGTTTGAAATTACGTGTTAATTATAATGAGGACATTACATCATAAGCACTACTAATATATTGATGTGATATGACATGATATTATCTTATAACTATTTTCGTGATATGAGCAGGTTTGGTGTGATGGCAAAGTAGCACTTAACATGTATAAGAAGTTGCTGATAGTCTTTCCTAAAGAGAAGAATGGAAGGGAGTAGCTTTGGAAAAGAGCCTTGTCAATATATTTGTTATGCCAATATGTCAATGAAAAGGTATAGTTTTCTTAATGTCAATTTTTATTGATTTCCTTTTTTTTGATTATATGTATAGATTTATTATTTGATTATGGATAATATGATCCATGTTCGTTTATGATAAGTACTTGGAAAATGCACATGTATACCTTAGTGTCTTATTTTCTTTTAGTTGCATATATCTTGTTTAAAGTCTGAGTATGTAATAGTAATATTGTTGGAGCTTGGAGAGAATGAGAAATGATTACATATTGGCATTGAGAAATGATTAGATATTTATTCAGTGGATTAGTCTTTGAATGATTCAGATTTTTCATCCCATTTTTTTCTAGCTAAACATTCTATAATCTTACTGATTAGCTAGCAAGAAATTATGCTTTGTAAAGAGCTATGACAGATATTTTGTTTTTACAAGTAGCTTCAAGCTAACTTACTGTGTAAGATGGTGTGGCCTGTTGTTTTATTGTTGAATTTTTTTATAAAAGCATTGCAATTTAAATTTATGGAAATTCTATCATAGTGTTGCTAGTGTAGAATTAAGTCTAAAATGTTATCTTTCTGTCATGACAGATTGACGGGGGTGCGGTTTTGGACCTTTTGATATGCACTATTCCGTGGCTGAAAAAATAAAGCAAATTTTAAACAAAGTATAAGAGATTACTCCTGCTGCTGCAACCTTACTACTAATGTTGATGCTACCACACTTATTACTGTTATTACCATGTTGTTGCTACCACTACTGCACTGCCATTAAAGCATTGCTGCCAATTTTATGCGCTACACTACATTATCAGAGATTAGATTATATTATGATAAACATATTCTAGTCTGTATTTTTAAAATATAAACATAAATTGTATTAGATTTTGAACTTATATATATATATATATATATATATATATATATATATATATATATATATATATATATATATAGAGGAAGGCTCATGTAAGAACCCTCCTCTATATAAGAACTCAATCTTATATAAGAACCAATCTCAACCATTTATTAGTTTTGATCCAACCATCTAAAACCATCCTTTAGTAATGGCATTTCTGTAATTCTTTTTTTATGTTTTAAATTTTTTTCTACTCTTATGTTCTAAATCTAGTCTACCTATTTTCTAATTTTTTTTTTTTCTATGTTCCAAATTTAGTCTACTTATATACTAAAGTTTTTTTTTTTTTTTTTTTTTTTTTTTTTTTTTTTTTTTTTTTCCTATGTTCTAAATTTTTCCAACCTATGTTCTAAAGTTTTTTTTCTTCTTCTTATGTTCTAAATATTCTTTTACCTATGTTCTAAATTCTTTTGCCTATGATCTAAATTCAGTCTACTTATGTTCTAAAGTTTTTTTTTCCTAAGTTCTAAATTTTTACTACCTATGTTCTAAAGTTTCTTTTTTTTTTCTTTTTTTTTGTTTACGTTCTAAATATTCTTTTACCTATATTCTAAATATTCTTTTATCTATGTTCAAAATTTTTTTTTTTCTATGTTCTAAATTTAGTCTACTTATGTTCTAAAGTTTTTTTTCCTGTGTTCTAAATTTTTTCAACCTATGTTCTAATTTTTTCCTATATTCTAAATTTTTTCTACCTATGTTCTAACGGTTTTTATTTCCTATGTTTAAAATATTCTTTCCTATGTTCAAAATTCTTTTGCCTATGTTCTAAATTCAGTCTACTTATGTTCTAAAGGTTTTTTTTTTTTTTTTTTTTTTTTTTTTTTTTTTTTTTTTTTATGTTCTAAACTTTTACTACCTATTTTCTAAAGTTTTTCTTATATAGTTATTTATAAATATTGCCTATGTAGGATTCGAACCTATATCAACTATGCATTTGCATAGTGCTCTACCACTTGAGCTAATAGGTTTTTAATATAAATCAACACCCTCCCATAGAAGCCGAGGAAAACAATCACATGCAATGTAGAAACTCAAATGCGACAATTTTGCATAAAGAAGATCTATGGACACCCCATTGAACTTAAATCTCATCACCGGGACAAAAGCATCAGGCACAGGGTGCAACTTTGTAACCTCAGGCATCTCAGAAAGCATCTAATGGAGTTCTTCGAAGAAATCTTCCTATATCCAGTAAAATATAACAAGTTAAGGGGCACTAAAGTAGCAAAAAATAATGGAAAAAGTATAGAAGCAGACAAAAGTTATATCTTAGCTCTCGCGTAGCATGTCTAGGGGCAACACATAGGATATTTATATCAACTCCAGGACTACGCACCTATTTACAACAACCAAAAAAAAACAAGAAGAAGAATTTAAAGCATAAGAAAACAAATATCTAGAACATAGGAAAAAATTTAGAACATAAGCTGAAAAAATAATTTAAAACATAGGAAAAAATTTAGAACATAAGCTGAAAAAATAATATAGAATATAGGAAAAAAAAATTACTACATAGGAAAAATTTAGAACATAAACAAACAAACATATGAAAAATAATTTAGAACATAGGAAAAAATTTAGAACATAAATTGAAAAAATAATTTCAAACATAGAAAAAAAATTTAAAACATAAGCTGAAAAAATAATTTAAAATATAGGAAAAAATTTAGAACATAAGAAAAACTTTAGAATTTAGGAAAAACATTTAGATTATAGGAAAATTTAGAACATAAGCAAACCAACTTTTAAAACATAAGAAAAAATTTAGAACGTAAGCTGAAAAAAAAATTTAGAACATAGAAAAAAATTTAAAACATAAGCTGAAAAAAAAATTTAGAACATAAGGAAAAAAAATGTATAATATAGGAAAAAAAATTTAGAACATATGAAAAATTTAGAACCTAAACAAACAAACATTTAGAATATATGAAAAATAATTTAGAATATAGGAAAAAATTTAGAACATAAGCTAAAAAATAATTTAGAACATAGGAAAAAATTTAGAACATAAGCTGAAAAAAAAATTTAGAACATAAGAAAAAATTTAGAACATATGCTGAAAAAAATTATTTAGAACATAGAAAAAAAAAATTTAGAACATAAACAAACAAACATTTAAAACATATGAAAAATAATTTAGAACATAAACTGAAAAAAATAATTTAGAATATAGGAAAAAAATTTAAAACATAAGTTGAAAAAATAATTTAGAACATAGGAAAAAATTTAAAACATAAGCCGAAAAAATAATATAGAATATAGGAAAAAAAATTTAAAACATAGGCTAAATTTAGAACATATGAAAAATAATTTAGAACATAGGAAAAAATTAAGAACATAATCTGAAAAAATAATTTAGAATATAGGAAAAAATTTAAAACATAAGTTGAAAAAATAATTTAGAACATATGAAAAAATTTAGAATGTAAGCTGAAAAAATAATTTAGAATATATGAAATAATTAGAACATAAGCAGAAAAAAAATTAGAACATAGGAAAACTTTAGAACATAAGCCGAAAAAAGTTTAGAACATAAAGAGGGGTTCTTATATAAGATTGGGTTCTTATATAAGGAGAGGTTCTTACCGGATCCCTCCCCTATATATATATATATATATATATATAATTGATTAAATATTAATTAAGCTTAAATAAAGTATTATTTTGAGCCATTTTTTGCTCTGGAGCAAATAACCACATTTTGTACTATTCGTCTCAAAAGTAGTCTTAAAGCATTGGTCTTTGTAGTCGCTAATAAGTCGCAAATATTTTATGTACGATGGACAATGATTTAATTAATAATATTTGAAAATTAGTTCCTAAATGGCAGTTGCAAATTCATCGCTAAAATTTGTGACTATCCAAATCACAGTCGCAAAAGTTTGGTCTTGTAATTACTAATCCGACGCAAAAGTAGTCTTAAATAATTGGTCTTTGTAGTCGCTAATCCGTTGCAAATATTTTACGACGGACAATGATTTGGTTGCTAAAATTTGAAAGTTGGTCGGTAAATGACAGTTAAAAAGTCATTGCAAATTCGTCGCTAAATTTGCGACTATTAAAAAATTAGTCGTAGAAATGGATTTGCGACGAGGTCTTTGGCAACAAACCAAAGTAGTTGCAAATCCGTCGAAAATCCATTTTTGCGACGGATTTGCAACTACTTTGGCCGTTGCTAATCCCACTTTTTCTTCTAGTGTTACCGCGACCATCCCATCATCACCTATGATAAAGCCACAAGGACTCTCTGATAAGCAGCTTGGAAAACACGCATAGTCCTCATCATGTCGTTCACGGTCTCCCGCGATATCTGTTCCAAAATACAAGGACAGTAAGTAAACAAATGTATATGAAAAAAATACATATATAATAACAAATACATATACACAATAAACATACGGACTCAACTGTCTCAAGAACAAACTGTATGCCCTCTTCCTCTGTTTATGGGAGAATCTCATGAATTACTGATCTAAAAGCATCGGTATACATGATCTCCGTTGTAGGAGGTACCCAACAACCTAACTCAACTCGCTGAAAACGCAATAAAAGAGTCAAGGCTCCAAAAATAAAAGAAAAAAATATATATAGTAAAATACTAACCGGAACAAAATATGGGAAAGGAGTAAGCCTAGATGCAATGAAAGCTTGGTAGGATGCATCAGGCAACACCAGCTGCTACACTGGATAACCGAGGATTGCCTGAGCTCGATCCTCGGTAGACTACAATTTTGAACACAACATCCAGATGGAGAATCCTCAAGAACCAAAGGCTCCTTGATCAAGGGTTAGATAGGTCGTTAAACTACTACCCTAATCGAATTAATCATTTATATACCTAAACCACTCTAATACAAATATAGGTGCAAGTAAAGGGTCAAACCAGTAAGGAAGCTCACTCATTCAACATCATTTTCACTAATGCAAGAGTAAGGGGAATGTTTTTGTTGGTTTTTGAATAAAGAGCACTAAAACTACAAATAAGCAAAGATAATGATGATTAAAATCAAGAGAGACGACGCTAGGTATACGGGGGTGTTCAATATGATTAGAAAGAGGGGAATAATGGTGATTATCATGAAACACATGCCAAAGAACACAAGATTCTACCTAAACAATTTAGTCTCATGCAATAGTATAGGCAAATCAATAAAAGAGGTCTACACCAATAAGGATCATTCTCATGAATCCTATTAGTTACAATCAAACCAAGAGAATAAAGAAGCACAATCCATAAAAACTCCACTTTAATAACTCAATCTCATGCATTCATTAAAATAAAGATGATCTTAATCTAGTTCAAATCACTTTCATGCATTTAAACTAGAAAACATCAAATAGAGTGCAACAATAATCTCAAGCTAATAAAAATCATGTCTTTCATCAATTTATGGAATAAGTTCAATCCAACCATCATCATTCATCCAATATCAAATCATATCTTCCACCCCCTTCCCCTAGCTAAAAGTTTAGCCTAGAGAAGGGAGATTAAACATAATATCAAAACTAGAAATAAACTCAAGAACTCAAAACAAAACATGATTAAAATCAATGAAATCAATAACAACTAGATTAACTAATAAGATTAACAATAATAAGCAACAATAAAACAAATAAATAATACTCAAGGAAAGGAGATTAGATTACTAAAGAAAGGATTAGTGAAAGATGAAAACTTGGATTCTTGCTTGAATGATTTTGAGCAAAGTTGAATACAATAAAGGATGCTTGAATAACAATGTACTTTCTCTCTCTAGATTAGACTAATATTCTATGGAATTAATACTAAGTGTCCTCTATTACAAAGAGTCCCGTCTATATATATATGTGGCTCCCCCCAAAAGAAAGAAACTTAGGCAACAGGGCGCAAGGAAATCAGAAACCCAGCGGTGCGCGCCCACACACGACATATGCGCGCCCGCGCAATAGAAGTGTGCACCCTCTAAGCATAGTGCGCGGCCAC